CATACATATCTACCAACCTTTCCGTCCATCCATCCCTCCATCCACATCCAAACATGTCTACTCAGCCTTCTGTCCATCCATTCATCCATCCTCATATATATCTGCCCACCTCCCCGTCCATCCATCCATCCATCCCCATACACATCCATTCCTCTATCTACTCATCGATGACCATCCCCTCCATCCATCCATTCACTCCTTTAGACACCCATCCATGTACATGCAGGAGTCTTGTGGATGCAGGAGTCTTGGAAGCATGTTTCTCAGAACGTCCATCTGTCCCCCAAAACACCCATCCACCCCCATACATATCTACCTATCCTTCCGTCTGTCCATCCCTCCATCCTCCCCCATACATATCTGCCCACGCTTCCATCTCTCCATCCATACATGCACCCCCATTCATATCTAACCACCCTTCCGTCTGTCCATCCATACATCCACCCCCATACATATCTAACCATCCTTCCATCCCTCTGTCCATCCAACCACCCCCATACATAGCTATGCACCCTACCATCTGTCCGTCCATCCATCCACCCCCAGACTTCCAGCAGTCCATCCATCCATCCACCCATGTAGACACCCATCCATGTACCTATCTGTTCATCCATCTGTTCCCATACACATCAATCCATTTACCCAACCTGTCCCATGCACATTGATCCAGCTGTCTGTCTGTCTATCCATCCATACATCCACCCATCCCTATCTACTCTCTTCTCTCTGCCCATTGAATGGCCAGCAGTCTAGTTGTGGATGGACGGACGGACGGACGGATGGATGGATGGACAGGTGAATGGATGAATGGATAGATGGATGCTCTCGTCCCTCTGCACTGCTTCCACACTCCAGTCCTTGCTGCTTTCACTTCTTTGCTCGTCCTCCTCTCTCATTTCCTTGGAAGCATCTTCTTGGGAAGGTCCCAGCCCAGTGGTCGGTGTCCTCAACACACTGCAAAGCAAAAGGGGCAGGAGGGAAAGGGGCTGGTGCCCCGGGTCCAGCTGCTGACCTGTGACGGTGTCGGTGGAGACGGGGCCGAGGCGCTTGCGGCCGGAGACGCCGTAGAGGTTGAATTTGTATCTTTGGGAGGGGACCAGATTGGTTACTGTGACTGTGCGGGATCCTCCATCCACGGGCAGCGCCTGGAGTTTGCCCTCCGCGTCCTTGTACTGGAGGAGGAAGGAGTCGAAGTCCCCGGCCTGGACGGTCCAGGAGAGCAGGGTGGAGTTGTGGGTGACCTCCGAGGCCGAGAGCTCCCCCAGGCTGGGCTGGGCGCCGGGTTCTGCTGGCGCTGGCAGGGAGAGGGCAGGAGAGATGGTCCCATCAGTTCTGGGTCAGGGTGGGGGAAGGGTATTGGAGATGCCATGGGGGGTCTGAGGTTGGGGGGAGCAGTGGGGTGAGATCGCTGTGTGTATCTGCCCCTCGTCTCTTTGCCATCTTTCCCATGCCATCGCTTCGGTTGTCTCCCTCCCATTGCTGCCGTTAACGATTCGTCCCTTTTCCTTTCCCCCGCCACGCTCCCCACCGCCTGTCAGTGCTCGTCTCTCTGTCAGGCTCCGCCGTTCCCTGCCACTCTTCCTTGTCTGTGTCTCCTTCTTCTGTTTTCCTACGGGGCCCGCTCCTTGCTCCCTCCCCTGCCTGGGTTTCTCCCCCCCCCCGCCCCCGACACACTCTATCCATCACATGCCCACCCCGACATTCCCACCCCGTCCACCCCCAGCTCCCACCCCCATGAGGAGACATGTCAACAGACATGCTCCAGGGGGCTGCAGGTGGGTACGGGGAGGAGGGATGGGGGAGGCTGCATGTGTGGTGTGTCTAGGTGTATGGGGGGGTGGCAGCTCGCTTTGCGCCTCCCACCCCGGGAGCCACCGGACCTAGCAGACAATTGTTATTTCAAACACCCTTGGCAAAGACTCCCAGCTGTCTCACCTCCACACTGCTTGGGGGGCGGGGTTGGGAAAGGGAGCCAGAACACCTGGGTTCTCTCCCAGCTCTGGGAGAGGAGTGGGGGCCGGTGGGTTAGAGCAGGGGGGCTGGGAGCCAGGATGCCTGGGTTCTCTCCCTGGCTCTGGGAGGGAAGTGGGAGCTGGTGGGTCAGAGCAGGGGGGGCTGGGAGCCCAGACTCCTGGGTTCACTGCCCAGCTCTGGGAGGGGAGTGGCATCTGGTGGGTTAGAGCAGGGGGGGCTGGAAGCCAGGACTCCTGGGTTCTCTCCCAGCTCTGGGAGGGGAGTGGCGGCTGGTGGGTTAGAGCGGGGGGGCTGGATGCCAGGACTCCTGGGTTCTCTCCCGAGCTCTGGGAGGGGAGTGGGGTCCGGTGGTTAGAGCAGGGGGGGCTGGGAGCCAGGACTCCTGGGTTCTCTCCCGGCTTTGGGAGGGGAGTGGGGGCTGGTGGGTCAGGGCAGGGGGGGCTGGGAGCCAGGACTCCTGGGCGCTGCCCCCTAACACTGTGGAAGGAAAGCAGACTGGTAGGCAAGTGCCAAGCTGGGCAGGGGACAGAGGAGGGGGCAGTTGGCGCCCCCCGGCTGGCAGGGAGCTGAGGCATGAGCCGCGCAGGGGGGGGTGGTACCTGTCCGGACTCTGGCTCTGAGTGGGGGTGAGAGCTGGCCGCGGTGCACCCCGTACAGCGTGACATGGTACTCAGTGCCAGGCCGCAGCCCCCCAACTTGGGTCGCCCGCTGGTCCGCCGGCACCTCAGCCTCCCGGGGCCCCATGCGCCCGGCCGCATCTTCGTAGCGCAGCAGGAAGGACTGGAACAGGCCCTTCCGCGCCCTCCACTGCAGCCCAAACCCATCACTGGTCACGTTCCTGACTCCCAGGGCCCCCAGCTCGCTTGGCCCGGGGCCCCCGCCAAGGGGTGCTGCAAGAGAGAGAGGGCGTAACGCGGTCAGGGTGCCTGGGCTCTCTGGGAGTGGGGTCTGATGGTTGGAGCAGGGGGCTGGGAGCCAGGACTCCTGGGTTCTCTCTCTAGCTCTGGGAGAGGAGTGGGGGCTAGTGGGTAGAGTTGGGGGGCAGCTAGGAGCCAGGACTCCTGGGTTCTCCAGGGCATCCATATAGCCCTGCAAAGACTGTCTGTAAGGCTGGGGTGCAGGATCCCG